TTATTTTTTTAGCTACAAATTCTATTTTTCACATGACATCGATTTTATTCCTGCTATATAATCCAAGATGACCACCGGATGACTTTCTTATGGATCCACGAATTTGACTTTTCTGAACATATTTGGAGAGGCAACCGCAGAATGGTCATCGGCCATGTATATAACAGACCTTGCAAAACTTTGAACAAACCTACAGCATTTCGCTGCGTATGTTACAACTGGCGTTGCTATTCATGCGAGAATAAAAGCATCAATAGTATTCGTAGAAACTTCATCATCGATCGAAAAAATACGTTTTATTTTGCGAAGAATTTAGTAGAAAGAAAATACGAGATCGATAATATCAACTGAAATTTTATTTTTACAGCGTACACAAAAAATAATAACTGTGCCTCGATAAAAAAAATGTTTTAATTAGATCAATTTAATTGAATGAATAAACAACCCATTTCTGCTTCTACATCACGATGATCTTACGTAATAATGTCGTCGTAATAACTCTCCTCTATTCTTGTTTATTTTCAAATTATTCAATAATTTTCCTTTAAAGTGTATATATTTGCAAGAGTGCATTAGTGAAAGAGAAAAAAGGAAAGAACACTTCTCGCCCATTTCTATCCGGCTCTATCCTTTTCTTAAGAGGAACTATAAATCTTCGGTAGGATGCTCGTAAAATGTTTTTCCCTACGTAGGTCGTCCGGTGCAAGATATTCGACCCTTCTTTCGTTCTTCTCCACGGAAGTAGAAACATATGTCAGGGCAAGGTCCCCGTAGTAACAATGTCATTTCGATGGAGTGACGTGTAACGAACGAGACTGTCCATATGGCTAACACGGAAAAAAGAATGAAACGAAAGAAAATTCAAAGTAAAAAAAAGAAAAAGAATATTTTTGTAACATCCAAAATTCGTCTCGTTCTATAATCAGGAATAAATAAAATAAAGCAATAAACTGTTTTATTCGTTTTAAAAATGAAATATGAATAATAATCGCTGCAAGTAATTTGTTGAAATTTCACATAAAAAATTAAATATTTTTATAGCGTAAAAAATTGATTTCTATCTATAATAATAAGATGAATATAAAAATGAGATAAAGACAAACAGAAAATCATTTATCGTAACTTCTATTGGATATATCAGGTTTTGTAAGGAAGGAAGGAAGGAAGGTTGGTCTCTCGAGTTCTTTTTGCATCGCGTGATCACAAGCGTTAACGTGTTTTAAAGGTAAGAAGCCCGATGCTAGCTGACTCTCTCATTCGTTGGGATAATGACATAAGCAAAGTTTCAGGCACGTGCCTCACGCGATCCTCATTTATTTTCCTTTTGCATCAACTACCACCCTTCTTCTTCTTTCTGTCTGTTATTCATGTTATTTTGAGTTAATGCGTTTTATATCTTTTTAAACCGATCATAAATGAAAAAAGAACTTTTAACTTGCAATGGTCAAACCCTTGACATATTCGTTTCATTCCTTTGACCGGAAACATCGAGGAAATTGAATCCTCGTTTCCTGGAGTCACGCTTCGTTTACTGTATGGAAAGTGCTGCAAATATTGAAGACTACATTTCTTTTATTATCTTTCTTTCGTCGAATAAAGAGTACCGATAGTTGTGAACGAGTTTATAAATAATTATCGGTCGATTGAAAATTTTGTTAAAAAATATTATACTAATACTTATGTATAATGCATACATAAATGGATAGTTATATACTTCGATGAGTTTACAAGATAAGATTTTTTAGTAATCAAATAAGAAAGAGAAGAAAGAAAGAGAGAAATAATTGTTTCTAAAGATAGACGAAAACTTCGAAAGAGAATTCACAGTGGAATCTCCATTTTAACTGTAAAGCATTCTTATCTTCATGGAAGCGAGCAGCGATAACGTAGGCATGCTTCCTAGAATATCAGTAAAAAAGTGTTAACAACAGTCAACGCTCACAAAGGAGAATCACTTTTCGCTCATTAGCAGAACACATTATTAATAAGAACGTTCTCTCTTTCCATGCATTCCATCATTGTCTAATATCTAATTGACGTAAACAATAAAAGGACCCAGAAGAAGACCGATTATATTCCGAAACAATTTAGAACGAGTTAGTGATTCAAACAAATGATCATTGTTTTCCAACTGATTAAATAAATTTCCCGTACTTTTTTTTTTCTTTAGAAATGGTAGACATTTAATTAATTAAACGATATAAATTTGTTCAGCAAAAATCTAAGAAAAAGCGACACATCACCAGGCAACAAATACACGTCACCTCGAGTTTCCTTTTAAAGAATAAAAGCTGTAACTGTTGGTGGTGAGTCATATGATTCTCTCGAATCGTCTAAATCACTGATATCACTTGTCTCTCATCCTATTTCGACAGGATTTATTCTAAATATTGGATGTGTCAGAAAAATTCCGGTTGCACAATAATTTCATAGAAATAAATTCAATTTCGAGATAATTATCAGATCGCACGCATATTAACGAAACATTTGAAAGTCGTTGATATCCGAATAATCTCGAATGTTCAATTTTTTGTCCATAATACTCGACAAGGCAAACGTTTTCAAAGAGATATGTATATATATATATATATATATATATATATAAATTTATAAATACATGATTATACGGATAGTGAAGATATCTTTAGAAAATGAAGGAAAGACCGGCGCGTAGAAGCTGAGTAGTTAACTAGCTAGCACAAAGATTAGATCGCATCCGCAAACATATGCATGTGAAAGATCACTATGGGGGATTGGTCGAACCTTCAACAATTCCACTTAGCTTCCTCGAAATCCAGAATAGAAGCATGTGACCAAGAATAAGGCAGGGTCAGATTATTGAAAGAAGAATAGTAGCACGTGTATCTTCCTCGTTTGCTTTCTTTCTTCGTTCGAAGTACATATTCGAAAGGGTAGGTAAGAATAACAGATCGAACAGGAAGATTACACGAAGGTATTAAGAGCTGAGCGACACACGCGAGAACGATGAACCACCCACGTGATCATCGTCCCAGCGATGACCTAACATCCTGTATCAGAGTGGCCCTCTCATCGTTGAACGTGGTACGTTATTCTTGCGACAGGTCGGTGATCTCGTTAAAAGAAAATCGCGGATACGATTACGCGATTCAGCCACGTAGGTAAGCACTTACTTAGGTTGATAGACGCATACACACGTACGTGTATACATATATATGTTTGTGTTTAAGCATGCATATAAGTTATGAAAAAAATGTGGAAAAAGCATTTCGAGGAGGATTGAATTTCGCATTTCCGTTACCATAAAGCGTTACGACTATATACCTCGACGGGTCGTGGAGCTTCGATTATAAATATCATGCAATTAAATTCTCTATTTCACACAAGGTAGGTCATATCAGAGTCTCTCATTCTCACTGCAGATTAACACAGATAAACGTTGCTAAAACTTCTACGAGAATTGGCCTAAATACTAGTAGCCATGAGTTATATACATATCTCGTTTGAACGCATGTGTCACGTAATACGAATTTCCTGTCTATACGAGAAGAGGATTGTCTCTCTTTCTCGCGTGATTTCACATCGTCCACGATTCATCGTTTATTTTTTCCCTCAAATATATATATATAAGTAATTAAAGATAATGGCATCATGAAAATATTCAAAAGCTTATGTACGAAGAAAGATATTCAGGTATTTCAGACAAGGTATATATGGAGAGTCTCTCCAAAATTTCTTCTTTCGATTTATATTTTAAATATATGTATTTTTTTTTCAAAATCGATAAAAATGATATATGTATACGTGGGTTGGTGAAATCTAACATAGAAACAATTTACGTTTCGTTCAAACTTACTGTTGTTTTTCGACGTGATCTTTGAACTTTTGGAAAAGAATAGGCTCAAGACTTTTCAACCCTACAATAGTATATATATAAATTTATAGATAAAAGAAGATATTGGTAGGATAGATAAGTTTTACTAGGCGCCATCGACGTAATCGTTCAGCAATAGTTCGCGTTTCATTTATATTCGTCGTTAGTTCGCGTATTATTTATATTCGTCGTCTCCGCGGGAGTAGAGCGGGAGTAGAGCGGGAGTAGAACCGGAGTAGAACCGGAGTAGAACCGGAGTAGAAACGTTTATTCGTGGCTCGTCGCGAGCGTGACTCACGCGAGATTCGAGTCTTATTTGTTGGACCGACGTTTTCAAAAAGAAAAATCAAAGAATAAGAAATGAAGAGAGAATCGGGAGGGAATAACTAAGAGAGGATAGTTGAAACACGCGAAAAAAGAAACTGGGACCATTTGTGCTACCAATCGAAGAGCAGACCAAAATATTAGATAGATCGCAAGAAAAACTTTGCCCGTTGACGGGACAAAAAGTTACGCGAAGAGATTCGTTCGAATGGGCTGATGAAATTTAAACGAGATGACTAAATTTCTATTTAAAATAAACAAATATTACAAACATTTTGTATCATGGATTAAATGTGCTGCGATTGTATATGATATTGCAATGTCCATATGCAGATGTCCATTTGTAGATGTCCATTTGCAGATCTTCGTAGAAAATGCGTTTCCAAAGTTTGAGAATGCTTAAATACCAATGATTCAATGAACGTGCTCGAGCCACGATAAATCAAACTTTTTTTCAGTATCGTGACGTTGATTCAACTAATATATAGACCAGAGATAAGTTTAATTCTATATGCGTGTGTTTTGTAAACTCATCAAGCTCGTTGAATTAAACTATTACAAGTTTCAAGGATAATTTCTTGATAAATTCAATATCTCGATATTAAACGGATTTATGATCGATCTTGCCGGTTACAATCTCAATAACGATAAATCATCGAGCAATCGTTTAAACGTTTCTATTGATCTGATTAGAAGAAAGGGATGAAGAAGAAGAGTAGGATGAGGAAAAGGCGCGCGGGCCAGTATGAAAACCATACAAAAGTATGGTAAACTTGAAAAGGCGAAGTAAGAAACGAAAAAAACAGACTAAATTTAAACTCACCATCCTCGTCCGGATTTGTCACGATAAGATGAAACAGCAAAGCCGAACATAGAATTGGACTCTTTGCGATAAATTGCATAGTGTTTAATTTCGACGTTGAAAGCTTCGATGGTGTTAGGTGGAGAACCAATGGTAACGAAGAGGACGATAAGTAAATCGATAAATATTTTCGAATACATGTTTTCCAATTGTTTTCGTTGAATTATTTATCCCGATAACAACAAAACAACAACAACAAAAATTCTTTTCTCCATTCACTCTCGATGACCACTTTTTTTTTTCCTTTTTACGGTTTTTAATCACTCTCATACGTTTACACGTATATTACACGTATCCCAAATACGAGAAGAAACAAGATATTAATGGTTAATTTAAATGAAAAAGAAAAAGGAGAGAAATAAAAAAGTAACGTTAATCGGGCACGATCGCGATTTAATACCAATGATTCTAATACCAATGGTGAATTAATTGATTGATCGTCAGGGTGCCGGTAACAGCTGCACAATCGACGACATGTGGCTTCCACCACGAGCCACTCGATGAATGTCTGCTCTAACTAAGAGGTGGACTAAACAGTGAGAGATGTCTGCTCGACGGACGGAGTCGCACGCACAGACTGACTGGAACTCCCTTCTTTCGGTTCCTCCTTACTCCTTCACTCCTTCTCTATCTCTCTCTTTCCTTATTCCAACGAATGAACGAACGAACTAACTCCTACCCATCAACTTATTTTTAAAGAAACGCTGTCGTCATTCAAAACTTCATGACGTATCGTGATTACACTCATCGATATAGACCCTATCTAATATTTACTTACTTTCATTTCATACAATCGTAATCGGTATTACGAATATTTAACACTACTCAAATTTTCTTTTCTTTTTCTCATTAGCTTTCATCATCTAATTAAACATTCTAATCGATTTTTAAATCTTAGATATCACATTAACTTTTTTTCTTTAAATATATTATCATTTTTACAGACATTTTTGATAACACTTAGATATTTTTATGTATATTCCTCAATACGTTTAGTTTTATTTAACAATCTTATCGATAGGAATGATTAGTAAAATTATTTATGGATAACACAAACAAGGACTTTGAAAGGGAAAGTTTTAGGAAATGTATTCGCATCTAGAACTGTCATAATTGCTATGCAGTACTTATTTATTAACCAACGATTATACAGAGAAAGAATAATGAGATAAAGTTTACTACTATACCGACTTCACATTTTTACCAACTGTGATAAATACTGCCCATTGAAGAAAAGTTACCGTAGGCAGTAGTGACTTTAGAGGTGTAAATTCTAATCAAAAAAATGTCACATCGAAATTGTTTAATATTTAAAATGTGTACTTACATCTAATATAAAATTAATTTAAATCTATTAACACTAAGTATAAAAAAGTTTTATCTAAACATTTCAAATAAAGTGCAAAAATGCACTATTTACAGCATTGCATTTTTTTACATTTTATACAAATTTGTAAATAGATAAATAACAAGAATAAGTATTCTACGGATAGATCAAGATATATACTTACATTTTAACAAAATTTTATTAAAATTTGACAACTGTAAGTATAAAAAAAATTGATGAGAACGTTCCCAAGACACAAAAGCTATGTGTGAAAGATTAATCCTTTGCAGCATTTCATTTTATAGGATTTTAAGTATCTAAAACACGAGACTAATAGCCTAAAAAAGTATTGTACGTTTAGGGCAAAGAGTGTCCTATTATATAAAATAAATTTTATTGAAATTTGACTACTGAAACTATAAAAAACATTGACGAGAACGTTCC